CTGATACGCCAGCTGCGCCCTTTTCTGGAAGTAAGGGATCTTGAGAACGTTGTGCACGCACTGGTAACTTCATGCCTGCTCTCCATACACCTCCCCCCTTAAAAAGGTGTTTTTCAGGTTGTGTGTGTCTATGAGAACCATATCTCATTTCCAAACAACTTACCAGTTTTTAAACTTACCATTGCCTGTAAATCATTTACAACATCCCATCACATTTATTTGAACATTCAATATGTTCTTTATATTTACTTTATCATACATATATATCAAATTTTCTTTCAACTGTTAAAGCTGTATTTAAAAATCCCCTTTAAATCTATAGTTATTATCACTTTAATATAATATATATTATAAGTTTCATCTTCTATTTCATCTATTTGAGTGACACTTTTGCTTTATCAATAACCATTACCTAGTTATGTATCTTCTGGCTTTCTCTGTAAACCTACAGCAATTATACTTTTAAAATATATTTTCAATATTAATCCCATTTGGTATAATATCTTATCATATTTATCTTATATGTTTAACATCTTAGGTGCGGTGCAGATGGGCAGCTCTGGGCCGCCCCAGGAAGTGGTGGATTGGGGCCGCAGCTACCCCACACCGCAGCCCTGATCCTTCCTTTTGCCATCCTGAAAAGAGCAGCAAAATGCTGCTCCTTTCAGGGGTGGCAAAAGGCCTCCTTAAGAGCCAGTGTGTGCACCTTTCTGGTGCAGTGAATCAGAATGCTGTGCCGGGAGGGTGTCCTGATGCTGCGCCCCGTGCATAACAGCATGCAGTGTCAGGACGGCATTGACGTGGGGTTGGGGCAGCTGGCGTGCAGCTGTCCTGCCCCATCTCTGCCTCCAGACCAGCCCTTTAGGTTGGTCTACAGAGGCCCTTAGTTATCTTACAGATATAAACCATGTCAATAGTTTTTTCTCAACACTTTAAATACAGTCTAACCTAAATTCATTTTTTAAATGCTCCTCATAAACTCATTATCCAACATTTTCAATCTTTTACCCCTCTCTCTTACTGAATTGAAGATTGATGGAACATTATCTCTAATCACTTTTCCATGTTCCCAGTGCAGGTTTGAAAATTTCCCCATTATACTAATGGCCCACATTACAATACATTTGCTTTCCAGTCTATTATCTCATTTACACTGTTGTCCTTCTTAGGAGTTTTCACTGGATCATTTCTTTTGACTGCTAACTTCTTTCTTTTTACTGGTTGCAGAATCATACTTTATCTCCTGATAATTTTTTTATTTTTATGGTTTTTTTTCTAGTCCTTTGTTTATGTTGTATAGTCTATCTCTTTTCCCTAACATCCTGCAAAGCTCCTCTTAAATATGTCATTAGGTCTCCAATATAGGTTATCACAATCTCTGGTTCTTCTTTTCTGGTTAGTGAATTTCTATTGGTACTCTATTGATGACTGTTTTATTTAAATGACAACATATTCCAGTTCTATTTTCTCAGGGTTCTCCCAATCATTTCACAATTGTTCAACTTCTTGAGTTGCACTGTTTAGCTGCTAGGTTACTAATTCATTGCTAGTGTCCAATTAATGGGCAGTTTCCAAATAGATGTCATATCTGAAAGTACAGACACTTTATCCAGCTGGGATTTATGAAGTAAGGGCCTGAACAAACTGCCAGAAATAATCCAGCTTGAGACCACTTTAACTGTCCTGGCTGAATGCTAGGGAATTATGGAAATTGTAGTTCCTCTGAGACATTGAGCCTTCTCTGTCAGGAAGCTCTGGTGCTATAATAAACTACAGTTCCCATGATTCCCTAGCACTGAGTCAGGGAAGTTAAAGTGGTCTCAAACTAGATTATTTCTGGCAGTCTGTTCAGGCCCTAAATCTTCCATTTTCACAAGAGACTTATTTAAATTCTGTGATGTGAATGCTTTCTCTGCACTCAATTGTTTAACCTCTTTTAATGTCTTCTTGGCTCTGTATGTTTTTCCTTTAAGTCTGAGTTTTCTTACTCGACTCATTTAAATAAAGGTTTTAAACTTTTATGACTTTTCCTCCTGACTAATTTCTTCCAACGTTCTGGTTCTTATTATCTCATTTGGTTTTTTATTATGTGTTCCAATAATATTACCATCATTATTTATAACTGAAATTTCTCTTTTCTCTTTTTTATTCATGGTTTTTACTTTAAGAGACACTACTTTTTCTTTCAGTCTATGGCTTTTAGATTCTACATTGAGAAGTTCAAGAAGGATAGAATTTGCCTGTTCATCAGCCCTATGGCATTTTTCTAAAAGATCTTGATTTTCTTTGCCTTTAGAATTTAGCATGTTCTTTAACTTAGCAATATCTGTATATAAATATTCAGTTTTTAACTTCATGTTCATTTAGACCCTTATTGACTTTTTGATGCAGAATCTGATTTTACCATTTAAACTCATAGTTGCTTTTGCAGCTTTTCATTCTCTTTTATTAAAGTCTCTCTCTGCCATTATGTATAAACTTTGTATTTGCATCATCATGCAATCCATGTAGTCTATTAATACTTTTTCATATTTGTGTATTGTTTCAGTTGAATATTTAGATGACTGTTTTATTTTAGTAATCTCACACTCTAAATCTGAAATAATCTTTTCTTTACTATCTTTGCAGACTGCTAGAAATAGTGCAAATTGAGTCCAGTTTAACTGC